CTGACGGGATGGAGTGGGGGCCGGGTGGGTTGGAGCTGAGAGTGGGACGAGATCGCTGGGAGCACCCCAGGGTGCTCTGGGTTGTCCTGGGCCACACTGCGCCCCCCACCCAGCCCCGACCCACTGGGGTCCCCGCACAGCACCCCCTCCCCATCCCCTCGGACCAGGCTCCTCCACATCCCCCTCACGCTGCGCTCATGGGCCCAGCGCTGCGCTGGATCAGGCCCTGAGCCCGTCCCGAGGGCCAGAGCTGCCCCCAGCCCCCCGTGGCCCACCCGAGGTCGGTGCCAGCGGTCCTGGAGCTCAGCACCTCCCACAATTAGAGACCCCACAGGCCCTGCACCCTCCCAACCCCGCACAGACCCCGTGGGGGCCATCCCGGGCTTTGGCCCCCCAGCGCAGGTGGGACGTGGGCTGGTGCCGGTTTCAGCCCAGCCATTCTTAGCCTCTGCCCTTTCCCAGCTGTAACACGACCTCGTCAGCGGCTGCGGGCTTGTTTGGCCCCGAGATGTCCCATCCTCAGCACCCCGTCTGGCCAGTTTGGGGTGACGTGGTGTAACCAAGCAGGTTGGGTGCCGTGGGGCTGGGTGCGGGCAGGCAGGGTGGCCAAACCCTGCCCTGAGATGATGGGAGTGCAGTTGGGATGCTGCAAGGGCCCCCCCTTAGGGTACCCCCCCCTAAAATCAGCCTGAGGGGAGCTGGGGGGATGCTGCCTCCATCACTGGTTGTCCTGGTGACTCCAGTAAACCCAGGTTGGTTTCCGGCTGCCAGGCGGCACCTCGGGCACGGGATGTGGTCAGGGCAAGGGAGGAAGCTGGTAACGTCACCACGCGTCACCCGGCATGGGGAAGCCCTTGCCGCAGCCGGATGGGGCGGGTGGCTGCCGGGAGCCAGGTAGGTGATGGCCGTGGGAGAAGAAGCCCTGAGCTCCCTATTTTAGGGCCAAGCTGGAGCCCTCAAGGCCCAACCCTCAGCTTGGCCATGGCACTGGGCACCCGCATGGCAGGGGAGGGAGAACTGTTGCCACCCTGGACCCCAGCCCTGGGGACCCTTGTGTCCCAGCCGTGCTGAGTTACTCATCGTGCTCTCTTCTGGCAGCCTGAAGTGCTCCTGTGCCTGGACCGCGGCAGCATGTCGGCAGGTGAGTGCTCCAGCCTCCTTGAATGCCTCCCCCTTACATCCATTCCCTCGGTCCTCCCTGCATCCATCCCCCTTGTCCCCCTTGTATATGTCCCCCCTGCATCTGTCCCCTCCATCCTCTCTGCATCTGCCCTCCTTACACGCATCCCCTCATCCCCCTTACACCCATCCCCTCAGTCCCCTTTGCATCCCTCTCCTCCATCCCTCCCCTCTGTCTGCCCCCCCACGTCCCTACAGCTCACCACGTCCCCTCGGTCCCCACCAGCCATTTGGCTCCGTCCCCAGCCCTGGGGATCGCCAAGTACTGGAGGAGTTGAAATTTCACCCGGCTGTAATCAAGAGATGGGAGAGCAGCCTCAGAGCAGCTCAGCTTTATTTTTAGCTCTGCCTCCCCCCATGGCGTCGCACCCCAGCATTGCCCCGCACCGCAGCTGGGCCAGATCCTGCAGGTGACACAGGACCCTGCACCTGGGTGCTGAGCAGGGGACAGGGTGATTGGTGCCACTGGCACATCAGTCACTAGGCCCAGGGACTGGTGCTGGGGTTCAGAGACTGCTGGGGGTCGCGCCAGGTGCTTGCGGTGGCCAGGCCTGCCACAGCCCCCCTTAGCCCGTGGGGTGACAAGCCGGCCACAGGGATGGATGTGGCTGGTCCCTGCCTGCAGTGGAGCCGTGGACAGTGACCGTCTCCAGGACACCAGGTGGCAGTGGCATTCCAGCCCCACGGCCGAGGCGCTGTGGGGTTTTTGTGCTCAGCCATGTGCAGCCCGGCCATCCCGACCTGCCCAGGTGACGAGGACAAGGGCGACACGCGGCTGCTTCCCTCTCCGCCTTCTACTCCCCCCCCCAGGACTCTGGGATCAGTCCCCTCCATCCCTGGGGATGCCTCCCCTGCACCTGGCACCCTCCAGGAACACCTCACTCCCCAATGGGCTTTCTGGCTTTTGATAATTTTTTTTTTTTCCCTTTCTTTCCTCCAGAAAAACTCAAGCACCACAAAATCATCTTCGTGGTGGGTAAGTCTGTGTCTGGGTCCTGTTGCTGGTGGGGTCAAGGCCACAGCCCAGCCCTTCCCCCTGCACCTCCGGAGTGGGGGCTGCGGGGAGCCCACGCGCCAGCTGCCAGCAGCCCGTGACACCCCCAAGCACTTGGCATCCCCCAGCCCACCCCAGGAGCTGCTCTGCCCATCCCTCTGATGTTGGGCTTCAGGACACTGACCCCTGTCTCACCAGGCTCTGGGGTCTCCTGTGTGTCTGTGCTGCTGCTTCCTCGCAGCCCTCCAGCCCCTTACCTGTGGTTTGGGGCACATGTGGCCCTCACATGACTTGCAGGTGGCCCCGGCTCGGGGAAAGGGACCCAATGTGAGAAAATTGTGCAGAAGTATGGCTACACCCACCTCTCCACGGGGGACCTGCTGCGGGCAGAGGTCAGCTCGGGCTCGGAGCGGGGCAAGAAGCTTCAGGCCATCATGGAGAAGGGCGAGCTGGTGCCCCTGGTGAGTCCGTGCAGGCAGGGGTGGCTGTGGGGACACCAGATACCACAGTAATGGTCAGCAGGTGGCCTGGGGACACCTTGCCCCTGCCACCCCAGGGGGATTTTTGTTGTCCTGGTTTGAGTGAGTGGGGATTTGGGGGTGCAGCAGGGTTTGGGGGTGCTGGGTGGGTGGCATGTGGTGCCATGTCAGTCCTGGCAGCTCTGTCCTCCCCTCCCCAGGACACGGTGCTGGACATGCTGCGGGACGCCATGGTGGCCAAAGCGGATGTGTCCAAGGGTTTCCTCATCGACGGCTACCCCCGCGAGGTGAAGCAGGGAGAGGAGTTTGAGAAGAAGGTGAGGGCTGGTGCCGTGCCATGCTGTGCTGTGCCGTGCCACCCACCCTCCAGGGTAGAGGTGTTCCACCTGGCAGCAGCTGGGCCTCCCCATCCCAGTGAAGTTCCCATCCCAGGGTCTAAACTGGGCACTACTGCAGCCAGCAGGTCCCCCTGCCTCAGGGACAGCCTGTGCCTAGGGTGCAGTAGGAGGATGTCCTCTCTCCAGGGTGCCCTTGAGCTGACAGAGGGTGACCACGGTGCCGGTGCAATGGCAGAGAGCCAGGGCTTGGCTGTGGTGTCCCTTGGAACATGGAACTCTGACACAGAACGGTGTCTGGTGGACCCCAGCCCCACGTGGAGGGAGACACACAGGATGGGGACATCTGTGACCCCCACACTCACCACCACCCCATCTCCCCACACCAAAACAGCCCCGTGGTGGCTCGGCGTGGTGACAACCGTGTCCCCTCTGCCCACAGATCGCTCCCCCTACGCTGCTGCTCTACGTGGACGCAGGGAAGGAGACGATGGTGAAACGCTTGCTGAAGCGAGGCGAGACCAGCGGGCGGGTGGACGATAACGAGGAGACCATCAAGAAGCGTTTGGAGACCTACTACAAGGCCACCGAGCCTGTCATCGCCTTCTACAAGAGCAGAGGCATCGTCCGCCAGGTAAGAGGGGACGTGGCTGATGCTCGGGGTGTGTGTGGTCCCAGGGGAGGGGAAGTGATGGGTGGGGGTGTTGAGGGAAGGGGAAGAAACTTGATCCTGGCTCGTTTGGGATGGGCTTGGCCCCTGAGGTTCTCAAAACAGACACCCCCTCAAGGATGGCCCCGCACCCCTTTGCCCTAAAACAGCCCCGATCTCTCCACCCACGGCCAAAATCCATCCCTGGAAGAGCTCCGGTCGCGCTGTCCCCTGGTTTGCCCCCCCCGCCAGCTAACCCCTCCGCACCCAGCTCAACGCCGAGGGCTCTGTGGAGGAGGTTTTCCAGCAGGTCTGCTCCCACCTCGACAGCCTGTAGC